TATAGATGTGAAAAGATGAGGATGTTAAAGGCTGAAACCTTAGCTCATTGTATTGTCAGTGACATTTCCCATCGATGTTACACAATATTATTCATGCACGACACGCGTTCCTTTTACCACGGGACGGAAAATAAGGTTTTTCAATTTTTAAACATGTCTTTATCACACGGGAACTTTCAACGTATTTTTAAGGCTTTTCTGTAAAGTTTGTAAGTAAAATGATGGCGTTATGATAATATTTATTGGATCTCTCGTCTCGTCACTCTTTCGCGTGCACGTATTTTGAATAAACAGAGATCGTAATCTAATTACCTAAGTATAAGGACGTTGAAAAAATGGTGACGTCATATCACTAAGAAATAATTGCAGCACCAAAATGTCCGTGGTATAGTTATGTGTGCGTGTACTTGCAACACCGTTAGCAATGCATGAAGTGTCACGCCATGTCACGCGATGACGCGACAGATGTCCTCCCTGTTAATGTGTGTGTATTCTGCATGTAAGTCTATTGTAGCAAGGCGACACAGGCGTTGGTTCAAGAGACTATGTCCGCCTATTTTTCAACATCCTTGCCTAAGTATAGTCCGACATACACAATGGGCTACCTTTTAAAGAACATGGTTTGCTCTATAATCTCCACGCTTGGTTTATCAGAAACCACTTACCTGCTCTGTCTGATCGATGGTCCCCAGTCGGCTGTTTTGACCCACGGGAAGAATAGGGTACGCCATTGTATTCTACTCTTATCGTACACCACACACACGACAAAATTTTAACCAACTTATCATATAAAAATATAAACACGATACGAAACCCAAACTAATGTTAACTGCAGTAAAATGAAGGCAAACTAAAAGTTTTAGCATGTGTGCATATTATTATAACTGAATTAAACTTGTAAACTGACGAGCTAAATTTTAGTTCAGAGTTTAATACCTGGAATGGCGCTGCAACTGGGCGGTTGGGATAGTCGGGATACTTTATTTTAGCGCATGCCATACAAACTTATACACAAACACTAACTCTATTTCCTCTGAATACAGTGTACCATATATTTTCTAACGTATATTTTCCAAGTGGACTTTTCAGATTCCGCGAATTATTTGTTCATCTTAGTTCTGTCCCGAAATGATAATTTGACAACGCGTTGCTCGCACGTCGAGCACCGTGCAACTTCAAAAAAGAGCTATACGGTCACCCCTTGAAACAAATGAAACATTTCTATTTCACATCATTTCAACTTTTAGCCTGTATTCAGTAACTTTCCACTGCGTTTTTGAGGTTTCTTCCAGTTCCAAGTTCCCTTAAAAGCAACCGTTACATGACTAGTCAACGATATTTTCATAACTATAGCCCAGCACAAAGTTCAATTCATATAAGAAAAACGAAGCCTAATAAAAGAAATCCGCCATGTTCGATTGTTATGATGTTATTCTGGTTTTTATTAATAATAAAGTCTTTTACTATAAGCTGCACTTATCCGAGAGGTACTCAGACATCTTAAAAGAATAGCGGCTAAGCCCTCTCAGGAATATCCCGAGAGAGAGTAAGCAGTGTACATTGTGTTACGTTAGATAAATGCTCAGTACGTCTCTCCGGTTCCCGGATAATCTGTGTTCGGTATCTGGTGGCGCGTGTATGTGGGTGTAAATTGGGTTGATACCTGTGAAAGCTTTCGTCCTAACTCAGGTGCCTCCACCCGCCGACGTCAGGCGGCTCTAGCCTAGTAAGAACGGCTTAAATTCACTTCGTAAAATTCAATTTATCTTAAATAACTGAATTCCAAAAGGATGGAATCTCTTGTAATTATGGAGTAAAAAATTACCTAAATACCGTTCCTTAAGTATTAGAGGTATTTTAAAAAACTTCGAAAGAGATTACCTTGTAAAAATAGCTCAACAAATAATTCTGTACGTTATTGTTCCGTTTATACTTAATTTCTTTGTCCGTCAGCAATTTAATACCGTGTTTAAAGAGTACTGGACGCATTGCAGAAATTGCTTTTAATTTCAAATAATTTTTAAATTTCATAGCAACGAATTCTTCCTTCCTTCCATTGCTTGACCGTCTGGAAACTTGTTCGTTCTTTTGACGTACCGATACTTCCAAAGGCTCGTTTGCAAAAAAGGTCTCATTATGAGAGGTCCCTATGTAATGATTTTCCAAGGAATGTACATTAACAAAAATTGCAAATTTTGAACCAAACTGCTTTCAAATAACGCACACAGCGAAGGGATGCTCGTAGCATGATACTTTTTAAAACAAAGTTATTGAGTGGAGAAAAGTTGGTGTTGTGTTGGTTGGAATTAAAGATGAAATAGTAATTAATAAGATTTTTACCAGTCTAGATTCGTAATGATAATGATAGATGACAGATGTAACCAGTCTACTAGAAAAAAAGGAACTTATCTTACCGCTCCGCTTTATAGTTCACTACCTTGCTCCAGTGTTAGTCTACCTCTAATATCTTTGTCATAAGACCAACTACGTCTTAGTTGTAAACCTCATATGAAAGCTTAGGAAAAGGTTTATCTAAAATCGCGCAAGTTTCGTAGCGAAATTTTCTGTGACAGGAACACACTTCTGAGTAGAAATAGTCTTTTATTACACAACTAGCAGCTCGTCCCGGCTTCGCACGGGGTAGACAATTATTTATTTTTGGAAATTTGGATTGTTGTAGTGACATAACTACAATAGTTGGACGTATGCTACCGCGGAGTTTTTTGTAGACATTATGATGTTCTACAAAATTGTTGTACATTATTTTGTTCTATCGCTAATAGTTTCGGCAGCGCATTCGACGAAAGACATTTTAAGACTCATTTTTTTACACCTTCGGTTACATTGTTCAAATTTTACCAAGGATCCCTAATTTTTTTCAAAATGAAACGTAGCCTATTTCAAATTGGAAGAGTGTAGCATTCTATTGGTGAAAGAATTTTTAAATCGGCCCAGTACTTTTTGGGCCTATTCATTACAAACATACAAAAATAGGTGCAAATCTTTGCTTTTTATAATATTAGTATAAATTAAAATAACATTACATTATATTTATGATTTTCATTAATAACTTATCTATTGATGTGATATAATTCTGCACCTAACCATTATCTTTCTTCCAAAATGGTCGTTTTTGGTCGCAACACTACACATAGGTATGGTAGATTTCCAACAATGGTGTACCTTCAATGGATGACGTACACTCAATTTACGTAAACTATTAATTACTCAGCTCGGAGTGGTTATTATTATTAAATTATTAATGTTTGTGAAGCGAAACAAACTTGAATAATTTATCCATATCGAAAAACACTCAAGTGGATTAGGTACACTCTTTAAGATTGCTCGTTTCCATATACATAAGTTATTTATTCCTTTACTGTAATCTACTAATGGACATAATACACTTTTCTGACCGTCTAATAAACCCTATTTGACTGTTTTCAAAACCTAACCGTGTAGGGATGGGTATAAAATATTCTGTTTTTATTTTTCAAGTAAGTAATACCTAAAACAAATAATGTCTTTTCTGTGCAACATTAAATTACTAAATTTGTGAAAGATTCAGCAGTGGTCTAATTTTAATGTGGGTAAATATCAAGTAACTTGGAGTTCTAAATAATTATCATAAAATGTTCATCGAAATTGGATAAAGGTAAAAGATAGCATGACGTGATCGTAGGTAAATGGTAATGTAGGGCGGGCCTCCCTATCGATCAAGTTTTATGAAAATGTTGCCACATAGCAAGCACCTCATAGATATATCAAATTTGGCAGCGACGTCGTCACCCAAATAAATTATGTGTCGCTTAAAACGCTTGTTTTTATCACTTTCAAGACTAATATTCATCACTGTTGTAATCTTCGTAGGTGAAAACATTTTACTCAAAGCTCTGACAAAAAACAATTAGCCGTTGTCGCGTGTCAAATTTGTAGCGCGGTGGTTAATCAAGCCCGGGTTACCCGACGCGGTGAGTGTTCTTGTTGTTGTAATGTTGTATAGACAAAGGCAAGGTTGAGGTCAATATCAAAGCTAGTTGTACTGAAAGCAATTTGGTTATAAACTGCAGATTTACACGACCTTCAGCCCATCCATCTGGTAAGCGAGCGACGGCCGCGGAAGCGACACAACAATATCTACGTCTATCCGACGCCCGCTTTCGTAATACCTTTCGGAATGTATGACTCATTTCAATGGACCGCTCTCAAAATTCTCTTCACTTTTTCATATCAATCTAAGAATAATTTCGTTTTGTTGTGTTTTGTAATACGAATGACCACCAACGTAACTGTTGGACATCATATAGACTGGTGCTGAAACCACTACAAACGTTATCTTAACATATTGCCTTATCAGAGCCGTATTGTTGTTGGCAGTGAACGTTATCTGGCGAATTGTGCTATCGGTAACTCGTATCGAACCGCAATCGATCCCGTACTAGCACCAGTTTGACTCAAGGAACTCTCCACTTAAATATAAGTCTGACTGACTCCCTGTTCCACTACATCTAGGAATTGTTACTCAGTCTCTCCAAATGCGTTTACTGTGCCAGTGATACAATTTTTGAAAAATTCTAGTGTATTTTACAGTTGTATGTTGCGAACAGCTTTTAATCTTATTAACGCAGGATTTAAAGTAAAAGGTTTCCTCTATTTCCTGGCAACGAAAAATCTCGGTATGAGTATAAATCGTTGAAAATATAGAAATTAAAACCATAAGCAAGCTTTAACATGATGCAATTCAACATTACCAAGTATTTTAGGGTTTCATTAAGCGCTTCATTTTGACTTAATATTCTTGTGAATTTACTCTAATTCTAATAAATGGTATCAAAGGAAATTCGTAACCAAAATATGTTGTAGTTAATAGCGAAAAGGGAACCATGTGGGTTTAAAGTACATCCAATTTTGGGCTGAATTGTTTTACAAGCGAGGCATTTATAACGACGTTTGGTATGATGTAATTACACGTAGCGTAATGGTGTTTTCTTCTGTCGTAGGCCGGTCCTGAAATGACGTGGGTGCTAGCGGAGCACAATGCGTCAGGAGCTGGAGAGCTGTCCGTGTCGAAGGGGCAGCAAGTGGAGGTGGTAGAACCGTGGCAGGCGCGCGCCGACTGGTGGGTGGTGCGCGTACCGGGCGAACCGCCCCTCGAAGGCGCCGTGCCATCGCACGTGCTCAAACTGCAGCCCCACCACCATCCCCAGCAGAAGACATCACCTTCCAGGCGACCACTTAGCCAACCCTGCGAAGAAAATACAGGTAGGTAACAACTCCGATAAACTGAACAGCAATCACCATTAGACGATTACCCATTGAAAGAACTTCGAAAACTACAAGTATAATAGGAACTGTTAGTATCTAGTTATCCTCGAGTAAAAAGTGTCTGATCTCGCCTCAAAGTTACCTGTCGTCTATAAGAAAACGGAGTACAACTTACAACTAACTTTTAATTGGATGAAAAAGGTTAGGGGATACAGAATCCTATTAAGCAATATTTTGCTCACACAAGACTTGTGCATTTAAATATGTTATGAGTGAATGAAGTGTAATGAGCGGATACTAATGGTAACTCAGAGTTAGATTTCTGTATACTCTAAGGAAAAATACGAAACACTCGTGTATGTAGTTAAATACCTATGCCAAAATTCTAAAGATTTTTGGTCATCTCCGAGATCTTAGTTAAGACGAAGCTGAAACACATTAATCCTGTAGGTTAGTTAACAGTAGGTTACTTAGTTACAACCACAACGGTGTGGTGCCTCGAAGGTCAGGATCTGGGATCAAAGCGTCTTATTTGGTTTTGTAGTTAAATGAGTATGACATACTCACAAGCGAACTGACTTTATCTATAACCATATACAAGAAACTAGCAGGCTCTCAGGTTATCGGAACCTGTGTTTTATATTTTTGTGTCTTAAAACCAGGTGTTTCAAAGGTCAGCATCCGATAACTATGGAAACAAATAATGAATAGAAACTATAACCGACAGCGGGTCGCTGTCTATCAAAGGACATCAATATTAATTTTCTGTACAGCTCTATATTTTCATCATACAAATGTGAACGCTATCAAGATGAAACTCCGTGATAGTCAATGGAAATGTTTTCCGTATTGATTCAAGAGATTGTCATCTAGTCCGAACATACAGGGGTGATTTCAAATTAAATCACACACAAAAACAAGCTGATACAAAGCGCAAAGGGGGAACGTGTTGACAGCGTCAGGTTCTGTGTATAACCTGTGTAGGTAGTCTGTACAGGCAATAGTAACCCTTCCTGTATCATACCTATAGAAAATGTATAAGCGGGAAAACTGAACAAACTGATATAGTGTCCACGTCTGGCGTACAGTTAGCGTCAAATTCTTTGGTGATACTCTGCGTATTCAAATCTTGTAATCAAACTGACTTAACCAAAATGACAATAATATCGGTAAAAAAGTGTCCATGTTGTTAACAATACCTGTACAGTGTACCTAATCGTTCTAAAACTCAAGACGTTTAAAATGTCATACAAATAGGGTCAGCGGTCAGTCAAAGGGCTATAAATATGATTACAGTCATAATGTGTAATGTCTGCATTAGACTAATGGCATAAGCCGGTATACGTGCCGACGGATCACCTGATGGTAAGCAATCGGCGTCGCCCATGGACACCTGGAACACCAGAGGCGTTACAAGTGCGGTAACGCACTTGTAGCCTTTTGGGGATTAGGAGTTTAAGGATCGTTGGGGACTCAGGGATTGGGGAGATTGGGGTAAGGGGAGGGTAATTGGGCCTCTGGTAACCTCACTTACACGACGAGACACAACGCAAGCGTTGCTTCACGTCGGTTTTCTGTGAGGCCATGGTATCACTCCGGTCGAGCCGAAGCATGGCTCTTCCACACTTATTATTATTTCTGATTATTATTTCTCACAACACTTTGAGAACATAGTATGAAGTTTTGTTTGATCTTTTTGGTTATTAATTTGCTGTTTTGATGCTCAATGTATCGTATCTAGTATTTTACTTTATTATTACGCCGCCCGGAATCCACACCACCGTGTTTGAATAATCGCACTGAACGAAATAAGAAAACAAATACATCCAATCGGAAACTCGGATCGCCACGCGAAACAAATTCGGTAGCGAAAAATTTCAAATCAAACTTCAACAAAGCCATTGGAAACAAACAACTGTTAGTTTGTTGATTTTAAAAAATATCTGTTTTTAGCATTTCGTACCCAAGGGATGAACAACGCATAATAATTTCTACAGATGATGTTCATTGTTCATCTATTGCCGCTATAAGATTACAATAATTTTATTTAGAGGATTATCTATACAGCATAAAGAAAATCATGAAACAAGTAGATATTAATTATTGTATTAAGCTTTTTAAAACATTCTATTCGATATTCGCACAATTCCACGCTAACAGTTGCAAACGTACCGAATGTATTATTTCCAATAATTACAAATAGGATATATTTTATTTCCTTCTCCTGTCAATTAGTATAAGAACAGGAAAATATCCTCGCCGATACGTCCTCGCAGTATTTGTAATTAATTTTACAGTGTCTTTTGTTTTGTTTTCCAATAACGGCTGCCATTAAAAGAACTCGTGCAGCATTTTACTTCATTTGTACAATCGGCCAGTTGGAAATGTGACCCACCGTTAGCTTAGTTTCCAACATTATATTCAAATGCCATTAGGTCGACATTCGTGTAAACATACTTTTCCATGGAAACAAGGTTGTTATCTGTCGTATGATTATACTTATGAGAACTATCTATTACAAGTCTCTATCTTTGTTGAAGAAATATTTGGAGTTGGTAACATAACTGTGATAAATCTCTACTTATAGATTATTTTAACAACTTTGAATTCAAGATGTTTATCATTATTTGTCTATAATATGTTTAAATATAAAATAATAAAAACATAGTATAAGAGGTAGACAGAGACTAATAAGAAATAACAATAATTATATTAAAATTGAATAGATCTTCGAACCCTATCGCAGCGGACGTAAATTTAAAACGTTCTTAATTCAGTATTCTCGGCAAAGAAGAGAAATCTTTTCTAATTGACAGTTTTAAACAATATGTGAAACAAGTTAGATTCAAAGTTGTCGATTGTACATAGTACAATCATAAAATACAGATGTTGCGACAAGAATTACGATAGCGTGTAAAAATGGCAGTTCAACGGTCTTCATTTATTAATAACATCCTTTAATACGTCTTCATCGAAGTGAACGAGTAAAAATGTCGATTAAAATAATATTGCAACTCGGCGCTAGAAAATAATATTGTCATTTTTCCTATAACATTATTGCACAGGATAAGTAATTTCGTTTTTCTCAGAATAATATGTACTTTATCATGTTTACGGAATAGACATAAACAGAACAAATATTGTAGGTAATAAACTATCATTTCCAAATATAAGCAGACAATATATTTCCACTTTGCTTCCAATAGTTGTGATCCAATAAAGTTGTTTCAATAGAGCCGAGGCCTGATGCAAATGTTGAAACCGTTTGAACGGGCAATTTTATGTAGTCTGACGTCTGACGGGGTTGCTAGGCGACTATCGTGTATTATTGCCGCCGTTCCATCTAATATACCGTGTCAGTGTGATCTCAGAGTGCGAGCTTTACGATTTAAATACTAAGCATTTTATAATTCGCTAACCACGATTTAATATACTGTTTTTAAGTGTGAAGTAGATCAATGAACACAAGGTTGGTTTAACAAGAATTGATGATATGTTCGTCCGTATAGATAAACCACTTTAAAATATAAATAATAAAGTACATAAAGTTCGCGACTTGTTAATTAGCTATACAATGTTCTTTACTTGACAGTGGCATCCTGATCGGGATTCCTGTAAAGAGACGGCTTCCGAAAGTTTTAATAACTTACACGGAGTTTATAATTAATCGAGAAGCAAAGACTGGCTCTGTGCATCGAAAATAATGTTAGGTACCTATGTACTCGATGGAAGTTCGTTATATTGCGCTTCAAACGTTCCCATAACGTCATTAGCAGGGAACGTGGTCCCGTATGTTGTAATGCACTTAATTAATGTGTACGTAGTGAAATTTTCTCAATAACCGAGACTTCCTGTATCGTATAGGCCGAGTCTATTACTGGCGAACATCTTCTTAGGTATATATTATATGTAATTAATATTATTTAAACTACATTTCTCTCACACACATTGCAGTTTACACAACGCTAAACTTTCATAGACAAATTAATTAAACCCTATCCTGGGAGCCGTCTCACTTGAAAGAGACGACACACACTTTTGTTAGCATTCGAGTAGTTAGTATGTCTTTTTGTTCCTTGCATTACATTTTGCATCGCATCACTGAAACATTTCTGTAGACTGCGCAAATTAATTTAACTGCAAATACATTCAAGTCAGAACTTATACGAACGAACGTTTTGAATGAGCATCTAAGTTTCTGATTCCGAAACAGCATTCGATGCGGTTTCGATAAGTGTTTTCTACTAAGGTAGTAATTATACAGATTTTATCTGGGTGAAGGTGTATACAGGTGTCGGTTGTAAATCCTACATCACTCGTTTTGGAAAAGACAAATAGTAAAGTCTTGTAGCGTGAAATTTTAAAGACCAAAAAACAAGAAATGGCTTTGGTTTTAAAAATATTACAGCTTTGCGCGTCGAAAGTAGAGAAACTCGTGTTGAATTTTGGGCATGTTATATTAAACAAAATACATCTGATAATATTAGATGGATTACTTTCTTAACACGCCTGTTAGTCTCTTAGATAAAACTCATAGTATTTGCTTAAACCGGGAATCCGATCCAAGCTATTCTTTTTTTTTTTTTGATGGTCAAAATCATCCAATTACTTCTCCCGCCCGGGTAAAGCGAGTGGGGGTGTCACACTTTTACTGACTAAAAACCACCCCGTTCTTACTCCTGCACTTCGAGCCGGAACCCCGGCAACCCGTTAAGTTTTAGCGGCTCCGTAGCCGAGTTACCTTGCTGCAATGCTTACTCAATAGTCAGACATTCAAACAAAATTAACTAGCTACTTAAAAAACTAGCAGACAAAATTATAGAATTTTGTTTGTCTGTTCAGTAAATGTTTCAATGTATTCAGACAGGAATGGATACTATAATATACTAGGCTATATCCATTCCTGTCTGAATACATTGAATCATTTACTCCGATGCTCATATTTAATTACCTGCACTTTAAATTAGGCTATAATCAACACTGGAATTACATATCAA